TGTGTGTGTGTGTGTGTAAACAGTGCCTTGTGAAAGTATTCGGCCCCCTTAAACTTTTTTACCTTTTGCCATATTTCAGGCTTCAAACATAAAGATATAAAATTGTAATTTTTTGTGAAGAATCAACAACAAGTGGGACACAATCGTGAAGTGGAATGAAATTTATTGTATGTGTCAAACTTTTTTTAACAAATAAAAAACTGAAAAGTGGGGCGTGCAATATTATTGGGCCCCTTTACTTTCAGTGCAGCAAACTCACTCCAGAAGTTCAGTGAGGATCTATGAATGATCCAATGTTGTCCCAAATGACTGATGATGATAAATAGAATCCACCTGTGTGTAATCAAGTCTCCGTATAATGCACCTGCTCTGTGATAGTCTCAGGGTTCTGTTCAAAGCGCAGAGAGCATCATGAAGACCAAGGAACACACCAGGCAGGTCCGAGATACTGTTGTGGAGAAGTTTAAAGCTGGATTTGGATACAAAAAGATTTCCCAAGCTTTAAACATCCCAAGGAGCACTGTGCAAGCAATCATATTGAAATGGAAGGAGTATCAGACCACTGCAAATCTACCAAGACCCGGCCGTCCCTCTAAACTTTCATCTCGAACAAGGAGAAGACTGATCAGAGATGCAGCCAAGAGGCCCAATGCAGCCAAGAGGCCCATGATCACTCTGGATGAACTGCAGAGATCTACAGCTGAGGTGGGAGAGTCTGTCCATAGGACAACAATCAGTCGTACACTGCACAAATCTGGCCTTTATGGAAGAGAGGCAAGAAGAAAGCCATTTCTCAAAGATATCCATAAAAAGTGTTGTTTAAAAATTGCCACAAGCACCTGGGAGACACACCAAACATGTGGAAGAAGGTGCTCTGGTCACATGAAACCAAAATCAAACTGTTTGGCCTCAATGCAAAACAATATGTTTGGCGTAAAAGCAACACATCTCATCACCCTGAACACACCATCCCCACTGTCAAACATGGTGGTGGCAGCATCATGGTTTGGGCCTGCTTTTCATCAGCAGGGACAGGGAAGATGGTCAGAATTGATGGGAAGATGGATGGGGCCAAATACAGGACCATTCTGGAAGAAAACCTGTTTGAGTCTGCAAGAGACCTGAGACTGGGACGGAGATTTATCTTCCAACAAGACAATGATCCAAAACATAAAGCCAAATCTACAATGGAATGGTTCACAAATAAACATATCCAGGTGTTGGAATGGTCAAGTCAAAGTCTAGACCTGAATCCAATCGAGAATCTGTGGAAAGAGCTGAAGACTGCTGTTCACAAACGCTCTCCATCCAACCTCACTGAGCTCGAGCTGTTTTGCAAGAAAGAATGGGCAAGAATTTCAGTGTCTCCATGTGCAAAACTGATAAGAGACATTCCCCAAGAGACTTCAGCTGGAACTGCAGCAAAAGGCGGCGTTACAAAGTATTAACACAAGGGGGCCGAATAATATTGCACGCCCCACTTTTCAGTTTTTTATTTGTTAAAAAAGTTTAATACATCCAATAAATTTCATTCCACTTCACGATTGTGTCTCACTTGTTGTTGATTCTTCACAAAAAATTAAAATTTTATATCTTTATGTTTGAAGCCTGAAATGTGGCAAAAGGTTGAAAAGTTCAAGGGGGGCGAATACCTTCGCAAGTCACTGTATATACAAATCCAGAAGTTTCTTAATGTTTCTTGTAAATTATAGGCAAAATGACAAAGGTGTGAACGTTTATAAATGGTAAATTACTTTATAAAATGCCTTTCTATCTCATGAAGACACTCAAAGTGTTATACACTACCATCTGTGTCCTCATTTACCCATTCATACAGGACTCTACTAGATCTATACAAAGCTAATAGCTTATAGAAAAGAAAGAACCTGAGTGTGTAAAGAGTTGTGATTCTTTGGACCCAGAAATCCAGCCAACACAGAACGAAGCAATTTACAGAATTTTTTTTAATTTTATTTTTTAATGGAATATTGCAGCTCTGGATACAGGATCGCAGGAACCGTGTGCCGATCTGAAGCATAGAGAGTCGAATGAGTAATTGATAACAGGCAGGGAGCACCATCCTGTTCAGATCAGGACAGACCAGTGTGACCAGGCTTCTCCAGATGTGACAGAAAAATAGCTGAGGGAGATCTATGAGCAATAGGAGGAAGGTGGAACAGTCATGGTGTGGTTACTGTGGGATCCACTGATTAAAAAGGTAGAAAATCTGGCAGGCAGAAAAGAATCAGAAGTGAGGGATGGATAAAAGCCTTTGAATCGGAGTCCATAAGAAAATCCAGCCATGGGCAGCCAAAGAGCAGGGGCTCAGAAGGCAAATAAAACGGTCCTGATCACAATGACTTGACTTTGAAATGCTGGATTTTATCTGCATGAAGCTTCAGATAATCTGGCACCTGCGCTGTGACTGGAAGGAGCTCCTGGAGAGCACAGGTGGAGATAATTAGACAGGCACAGGTGAGCATGGTTAAGTGATTGAGTGGTCCGGGTAGGCGTGCAGTGAGAAGGAAAATTATTCATAGAAACAGTCAAGGCATGACATGAAAACAACCCAGGAACATGAATCATGACAGATTGATTGTAAAGCTGTGGACCTGGTGTGTAATCAGCAGATAAACGTGTCTAATGCAAGGCTAGCTACATAACTAAAAGTTATCAGGCAAAATGGATGTAAACATAAAACATGCTGGCACTAACAAAACCTAAAGTTATGCAAGTTCCTCACATGCTGTAACGTTTATTAAATGATCTATTTTCTTACCTGGCTCTCTGTCGGACACCACGGATGAACTGTTGACCCAAAGGAAGTTAAAGTTCATGATGTAAATGTTCATGTTGCAGTGCAAAACCAAAATCTGGAGTTAAAATTTGTTCTGTGTGCTTAGGTTGCAGTTGTTACTATACATGAGCAAAGTTGTTCAGATTTGACAGTTTTTAGTTAAAATTCTTGTTTACAATTTAAATATTTTTAAGGGCTACATTTAAAACTGTTTAAAATCACTTTTTACAACATATGACCTCCACAACTGTCTGTTGTGCTCTTCTTATGCTTCTGTTGTGACAGTGTGCTTCTTCTCTGCTTAGGTTTTTCTGATCCTGGGTATCATCTCTCTGCTGGAGAACATCATGGTCATTACAGCCATCGTGAAGAACAAGAACCTCCACTCACCCATGTACTTCTTTGTCTGCAGGTGAATGAGAAATACTTTAAGATAACTTAAACAGGAATAAATAAAAGCCTACTGTTCCCTGAGGAAATGCATACCCCAGGGTTTTAAACTAAGATTGTGTTATGTTGATAAATGATGCAGTCGTTGCTATTTTTGGTCAAGACGATCTAATGCTACAAAATGTCACACTCAGTGTAAGTTGTGAATAAATTTCAGCTCCTACTACAATACATTTTAGGACAAGATCTGAAAACTGGTAGTATTATGTCAAGTTTTTGTGCTGGATAATTTTGATACCATACCAGCTTTATTTGTAGAGCACTTTAGACACCCATAAGACCAAAGTGCTGTACACATTCATTCAACCTTTATTTAGACTGGTTAATCCCAATGAGCCTCAGGGACTCATTGACAAACCGGATTCCAAAAAAGTTGGGACACTAAACAAATTGTGAATAAAAACTGAATGCAATGATGTGGAGGTGCCAACATCTAATATTTTATTCAGAATAGAACACAAATCACAGATCAAAAATTTTAAACTGAGAGAATGTATCATTTTAAGGGAAAAATCTGTTGCTTCCAAATTTCATGGCGTCACCAAATCCCAAAAAAGTTGGGACAAGTCCATTTTTACCACTGTGTGGCATCCCCCCTTCTTCTTACAACACTCAGCAGATGTCTGGGGACAGAGGAGACCAGTGTCTCAAGTTTAGAAATAGGAATGCTCCCCATTCATGTCTAATACAGGCCTCTAACTGTTCAATCATCTTGGGCCTTCTTTGTCGCACCTTCCTCTTTATGATGCGCCAAATGTTCTCTATAGGTGAAAGATCTGGACTGCAGGCTGGCCATTTCAGTACCCGGATCCTTCTCCTACGTAGCCATGATGTTGTGATTGCTGCAGAATGTGGTCTGGCATTATCGTGTTGAAAAATGCAGGGTCTTCCCTGAAAGAGATGACGTCTAGATGAGAGCATATGTTGTTCTAGAACCTGAACATAGTTCTCTGCATTAATGGTGCCTTTCCAGACATGCAAGCTGCCCATGCCACAAGCGCTCATGCAACCCCATACCATCAGTGATGCAGGCTTCTGAACAGAGCGTTGGTAACAACTTGGGCTATCCTTGTCCTCTCTGGTCCGGATGACATGGCATCCCAGTGTTCCATAAAGAACTTCAAATCGTGACTCATCTGACCACAGAACAGTCTTCCATTTTGCCACACTCCTTTTTAAATGACCCCTGGCCCAGTGCAAACGTCTGAGCTTGTGGAGCTTGCTTAGAAATGGCTTCCTCTTTGCACTGTAGAGTTTCAGCTGGCAACGGCGGATGGCACGGTGGATTGTGTTCACTGACAATGCTTTCTGAAAGTATTCCTGAGCCCATTCTGTTATTTCCTTGACAGTGGCATTCCTGTTTGAGGTGCAGTGACGTTTAAGGGCCCGGAGATCACGAGCATCCAGTAGAGTTTTACGGCCTTGACCCTTACGCACAGCGATTGTTCCAGATTCTCTGAATCTTTTGATGATGTTATGCACAGTTGATGATGATAACTTAAAAGTCTTTGCTATTTTACACTGGGTAACACCATTCTGGTATTGCTGCACTATCTTTCTGTGCAACAATGGTGGAATTGGTGATCCTCTTACCATCTTGGCTTCTGAGAGACACTGACACTCTGAGAAGCTCTTTTTATACCCAATCATGTTGTCAATTGACCTAATTAGTGTTAATTGGTCTTCCAGCTGTTCATTATATGCTCAATTTCCTTTTTCCAGCTACTTATTGCTACTTGTCCCAACTTTTTTGGGATTTGTTGACACTGTAAAATTTTGAATCAACATATTTTTCCTTTAAAATGTTACATTTACTCAGATTAAACTTTTGATCTGTCATCTATGTTATATTACGAATAAAATATTGACATTTGCCATCTCCACATCATTGCATTCAGTTTTTATTCACAATTTGTTTAGTGTCCCAACTTTTTTGAAATCAGGTTTGTACAAGACAGACCTGATTCTAACAATAGACAATTATAAAATGATGCAAATAAATTGGAAATGTGAAAATAAAATGTTATTAAAAACTGTAACAAAAAACAAAACAAAAACAGCTATATTATAAGGCAATGTAAAAAACTAAAAACAGGAACATGTCTGCATTGGCTTTTGCCAGGAACTTAACAGATGGTTAAAGCCACTTAGAGAAGTCAACGTTGAGAGCTTCAGATATTTTTGCAAGGTATTCCAGGAAACTGGAGCGGAGTAGGAGAAGGCCCTTTTACCATTTCAGTTCACACTGAGGGAACATTGCAGGTAATAATGTCCTGAGAGCGCACGCTGTAGCTGCACTCACGCAGAGACATGTACCATACCATTTTATTTATAGAGCACTTAAAACAGCTACAAGGCCAACCAAAGTGCTGTACAGACATTGACAAAGACATGTGGGAGGAGATGTATGAAGGCAGCAGACCAAGAAGTGATTTAAAAATGAAAATGTACCAGTGAGAGAGTCTGTGTGAAGTTAATGATGTCCAGTTAACCAGTGAATACTGGGTACAGTGGTGGGTAAAATAATCACAGCCAGTTATGAATCTTAGTGCACCATGATAGACAGCATCCAACATCTGCAGGGTTCTTTTAGGAGCATTCATGTAAATAATAAAATAATAAAATAAAACAATACAGTCAGATAATAAAAACGTTTAAAATGATTTAAATTAAACATTTCAGATGGTGACAGGTCTCAGGTGATAAACTGAGGCAGTCACAGTGAAGTGTGTTGAAATGTAAACGTATATTCAATGATTACTTTCTGAGAGTTTAACTAAAATTCATTCAGTGGATCATCTATCCGCCCATCCATTATTTTTACCCGCTTCTTCCTTTTCGGGTTGTGGGGGTCACTGGTGCCCATGTCCAGCAGTCACTGTGCAAGAGGCGGGGGACACTCTAAACAGGTCTCCAGTCCATCACAGGGACACATAGAGACAAATGAGACAAACAACCATTCACTCTCTCACTCACCTAAGGACAATTTAGAGTTACCAGTCAGTCTAACATGCATGTTTTTTTGTCTGTGGGAGGAAACTGGAGTACCTGGAGAAACCCACACAGCACAGAGAGAAACTCCACCAAGAAAAAGCCCCTTTCCGGGGTTTGAACCAGGGACCTGCTCACTGTGAGGTGGCAGCTCTACCAACTGTGCCACCTTTTTTATTTTTCTTTTATTGTTATTTATTTTTAAGTTCTAGAACTGCGCCGCTCAAGATGGCTGCATGTTGGAGCAGCTCTGTTACTTTCATTCTGAGATTTTGTTTTTGGAAACTTTAATTCCTCTTTTTCTGGATGTAAATCACATTTTTTGGATGATTGTTTCCTCTGGTATCGGATGCTGTGCAGCTGGAAGGATTATTACTGAAACTTTTTTAGATTTGGACATTTATTTTGATGTGTAACCATGGCAACAAGGCAGTTTTCTACAACCAACAGCAGCTGATTAACATCTCAAAAGCTCAAATAATATCTCAACTACAGCCCCAAATCTCAAATGAGTTGAAAAGGATCTTCTGTGGACGCATACTCATCTACCTGCCAGCTGTGCTCGAGTGCCTGACCACTGAAATCCTGGAACTAGCAGGAAACATGGCTCATGACAGCAGAAGGACAGGATCGTCCCTCGGCACCTACAGTTGGCTGTCTGCAGCAAGGAGCCCGGCAGACTGCTGGGAGGAGTGGCCATCACTCTGGGATTCTGGCATTCGGGCGGTCCTACAGCCCGGGGGAACCGAGAGGCCAGCCGAGTCTGGGTGGACGAATCGGACGGCTTCTGCAGCCAGTTTCTTAGGATCCACTGTGGGATGGACCTTTACAAGAGATCCTTCCTGTCTACAGCCATCAGTATCTGTAACATATCTTAATGAAATGAGGATAATGAATTACAACAACAAATAATTTCCCTTTGGGATTAATAAAGTATTTTTGAATTGAATTGAATTTATTAATAGGTAAAGAGGCTTCACTCCTACAGTTAATGCTAAAGTTTTAAGAAAAAATCTTGTATTACGAGTAGTACTTAAAATTATGTGTTGTGAATGAATTTCAGCCACAACCACACAAATCTTTAACACACTGTTTGTAAAATTGACTGACTCAAAGACATTTATGTTTCCTATGGTGATTTGACAGTGGCAGCCATCTTGAAAGAGGTTAACTCCAAAAGTTGCCATAACTGAGAATGATTCATAAAACATATTCCAGATGCCACTCTTTGCATAAGATCTTTTTTGTTTATGTCTTTAGCATTAATGGTTGAAGTCAAACCTTTCAGCAAAATATTTCTGGATCCAACACACTGGTAAAAGTAAAACTCTCAGAAAGTAATAATTTTTTTGTGTGTGTTTTCTATGGTGCAACTGATTGTCTTATGTCATGAACCAGAGGCCGGATCGCAAACAACAACAACAACCACTGA